CGCAAGACTAATATATCATATATAACAGCAATAATCAATAAATATAAAAGGCCTTGTGAAGATGTATTCACAAGATAAGTAAAATTAATAACTCTAGAGAGGAATGCACCACTATTATAATGAAGGGACAGACCAACTTTAGATACAAGCAAGGCGAACTGAAGATCTACATATACATTAAGGATGTTCTGCAACCAAGGCAGAACATATGAAATAAATTTCTGTTAATATCAGATGATTCATCTAAGATACTATCTTATATGTACGCAATCTATTTCATTATCTATACTGGCAATAGACTTTTGTCCTTCAATGATCAATCGCTAATTTTATTGAAATTCAAATACCAAATATTTATCCACAACAATTATATCACACATCTTTTAACTCGTCTTTTAATTAAGAAATGCAGTGATAAACTATTGGTTACTAAACATAGGTGGGCTCATAATTTTAACAGTAGATAAATTTGGTTACTAAATTTAACAGTAGCCAGGGTTCATTATTTAAGTAATGGATAGGATATTTATTCTAGTATTATTAGTTTCTGTTATGGTCTCAAATTATGTAAAAATCAAAACTCTCTAACTCCAAATTGCATAATAGCATAAGTCAAAGAAAAGTTTGAGCTGTAACCTTCGTTATTTCTTTCTATTTATCCTTTTTTTTTTGTTGATATAGTGCAGGTTTAGTGAGTTTCACAACTCTAGGTGGAGTGAGAGATATAAAGGGGGCTAAATGATTTCTTGCAAAAGCAGTTCATCATCAGGCTCATTTTTTAATAATTTAATACAACGGTTTATACATAATTTTGCTCAAAGTATACTTGCAATCAGACTGTTAATTTCCATCATATCACCAAAATATAAAGAAATACTTCTTGTATTCTCTTTCCTCAGATGTAAGCATGAACCACTACCATAATCTATTATAAGTTGTTGTAATTGAAGGCGAGAGTGTAATAACCCTACTATTTCCATCTCCTTGACTATAGCTTCATTATGATTAATCACATTTGATTGTTGATAGAATATATCATTTAAAAGTTTTGAAAGTTTTAAAGAATCACCCAAATGTTTTCGATCATGTGGTTCTTGACAAATTTTTGCTACTTCGATTCCTCCATATTTATATCCATTTACTGTATTTTGAAAATGACATCAATTTGATATCCAAGTACTTTTCTTTGTTCTTTGGTTATATATTGTCTACTATTGTTTTTCGATTACTTGATACAATGCTACAAATGTCTCTATGAACAAGTTCTATATTGAGAACATTTAAAAATACCTTATATTAATATACTCCAAATATTAGTCGCATACTATCCTTCTGAATTAATCTATTTTTTGGTGATTCATACTCATGTAAAAACTTAGTGTATATATTGGTAATCAAAATGCTGTTCGTGTTTATAAATTGATTGAAGCCAAGGTTTCATTACTTGTACCTGCATTTCTGATGGAGTTTTCTTGTTGTAATTTAGCAAATGTTGCTAGATTTTCATCAATACCAGATACAGTTTTCTTATTGGTGTTTATTATTTTGATCCATTCTTGATTACAAAATAAGTTCTTAATAATGGTGTCGACGTATCGACAATAAAAGAATGTGCTAGTTGTTCATAAGCTAGTTTTGATGCATATGCATAAAGAACATCCTCGACACTTCTTCCTGTGAACAGATGCCACTTCTTTTTTTTCAATTTTTTTGTATGTTA